AAAATGCGGATTTTGTGACTGACATTGTTGGTGGGGACTTCGGGAAGAATGGTGATGATGATGGTTGTGATAGAGGTGGAGGTTTCAGAACTGGATTCAAGATGGCACCAGTAGTTGAAAGGATACTGGCTGATTTTGTTACCGTTGGTGAGGCAAAAGATCTGGACCTCGAATACTAGCCTAGAAAGATTTGAGGGGAATCCTGTAGGAAATGTTAAGGATTTTGAAGATCCAAGTTGATTCTCATTGGCCGATTTTTTTCAAGTCAATGTTTTTTCCCTCCTCCAGTCCACTCCTCTGTAGCATGACCCTTTCTTGAACAATGTTAATTCATAAACCTATTACTATGGAGCAAATACATTAAGGTTTGAAGGGTGCTACATAATACCCTTTCCTATTTTCAAAACCTAAACAGCCCTTATAAAGTTTTACTAAAAACTTGATAAATTGTTCTTAAAAACTTGACTTTTATTTCGTACTGTAAATTAGGAAATTTGTAACGAAATGTGTGCCAAAAGAAAATGAATAGTAAGTAATCCAGGCAATGCATTTTGTAAGAAATTATGATAAGACATGAACGATTCCATGGGAAGGATATAATGGATCATACATAAGAAGTTACATAATGAGCATCTATTCGAGGAAAAAGCCATGACTACACATAATTCTTAACAGAATTTCTACCTACGCTAACATGGTCACAGATAATTGAATTTATTTCTTTATTCTCGTTCCATCTTTCAATCAATTCTTGCCATAAGTCGTCCGTCAAAATTTTCTATCAATTTTTTCTATACTTAGCACAATTCTCTATTTGACGTCCTTTCTTCCCCCCGATTTAATTTTTGTAATGGTAAAAGCATTAATTGCCAGCAAAAAAAGCAACTGACTTACTTGATACAAATTTGAAGAATCCACCCATTTACCACTAAATACCATGGTAGCCCTCGATATGTCATGAAATTTACTTATTTGTCCTTCAATCCTTCTTCCCATCCTTCTTCCCTATTTCAGTTGGCAACCAGCACATACCATAAAATTAATAAACTCATTCTTCTCCACGTGAATACATCATACTGCAAACGTGGGCCAATTACACTAGTAAAAAATAAATTTGGTAGAATAAAGTGTGTCAAACAAATGCTGATTTACAAACAAATAAGATGTCAAAAAGAAGGTTGAAAAGTTCTTTTTTTTTTTTTTTTTTTTTTAAATTAAAGTTTTTTTTTTTTTTTTTTTTTTTTTTAAAATTGATTGAAGAAATTCTAGCCAAATCATATCTCACAACATCATGTGTATATAAACCATTATATACATGTTGCACAACCAATAATGAATAATTATGATAAATCTAAATCGAATAAGAACGAAGCAAGACGATTTTAAAAGACATGTACAATTTCCAGGTTTCAGAACATAAGCATCAAATTTCAGTTGGTGGAGAAACCAGTCCTGATGACATTCTGTTCTAATAGTCTTGCATTGACAAACTCCTCCGAATATTGGTAACATTTGTATCTAAACAACTGTGGTACACTGGTACTATACTTTAGCAAAGCAACCTCCAATATTTAATCTTCTATAGACTGCAATAGACCTACAAACTTGATTTGTTAAACCATTTCTCAATCTATATCCTGTATAATGCATTTTTCCTTATTGACGACAACCAAGAAATCTGTGATTGCATAATAAAAGAGAAAAATCACAGTTTCCAGGTTGGCAAACAATGAATTGAACAACCTAGAATAATGAACTCGATGATTATGTAATACAAACTTATAGACCTATCTCCGGCACAATAATGGCTGCAACTCCATTCCTAGCTTGCATCAGGACCTGCACAGTGAACGAATTCTCAACCGTTAGTGGGCATATATCTATGGAGGGAGGGAGGGGGCTGACCAGTTACTAACGTTCTATTTTTTCCCCAAAAGGGGACCACTCGGTCAGATTCTCAAACAACATAAGTTGCAAGAAGAGCATGCAACAAAGCCCAATAGATTATGACACCAAGTCGCAAAGCAGGTTGTCGCATTAGTGCCCGATCACTTGACATCCTGGACAGAATTCATACAAAAGTAATAAATGGGAATACCCTGAACATCAAATATATTTTATAGAAGTAGATTGGACCATACCACAAACCATCAACCATATTGGTTACTGGTCTCGTAAATTGGGGAACAAGTCTTGATGTAGTGAGCGACTTGAACCCATGAGCTGAAATTGAATAAAAAACCAGAGAAATGAAAGAAAAATGAGTCTTAATAGCTGCAAGTAGCTGGATTTACAGAGGCGATACAATGCTTTTCAATTACTATAGCTTGACAGCACGTTATTACCTTTATCGTCGTCATCCTCATCCAACCTGTCACTACTTGGATCAATATCTATAGCCATGGCAACGTGATCACTATTAGTTTTCCGCAAACTACGAACTTGCGATGATGCAATGGTAGCAGGAGCTGTCCATTTGTTTGTCTATACCAGCAGATCAGAAGCGATTAGTACCAAAATATAATATTCCCAGTAAAAACAATGAGAAATAAAGAAAAGAAATAACAAGAAAATAACAAAAGGCTACATACAATCAGAAACTCACACCTATATCTAGGCACTTGGGCAAATTTGACGAATAAAATACTTAAATACCATACCACTTGTTCAACTTCCATGATATCCGACGTAGCACTTGATACTTGTCCAGACTCTCCGGCACCTTGAAGCATAGTTAATTGAGACTCCTTTTCATGCAATGAATTCTTAAGATGATGTTCTTTTCGTGTCAACTCTTCCACTTTACCCCTTGCTTCTTGCAACAGCATATCATTGTTCTGGGTCACCGCACGAAGATTCTCCAATTCAGTTACAAAAGCCACTATCTGGTTCTGTAGTCTCTCTTTATATTCGTTAACCTGATCAACTTTCATACTATCAGAACCTAGATCATTCACCTGCACCGGAGTAATCAGTGTATCTAACCATGTCAGGAAATCATGAATTTCATCAGAGCTCCTTCTCTTGCTCATTTGGGTTGCAGATAGTGCATCATTAGTGCACCTTGTAACCTCTTGCCTAAGGAAAGATATCTCTCTATCCCGCTCTTGCAATTGTGACTGAAGCTTCTCAACTTCAGAAAGGAGACTTTCAGACAAATAATGAAGTTCATCAAACTTGCTCACTGTGACCGAAAGCTTCTTCAAAGCCTTCCCACGAGAAACTTCAAGGTTTTCTAATTGTTTGTTCTTCTGTTGCAATTCTCTTTCCAGCTCGCCAATCCTGTTTGTCAGATTCTCCATTTGAGCCTCCTCCTCATCAAGTGCTTGCATCATTGCCTCATTTTCTGAAAGAGCATATCATTATGTAACTAAATTATTATGATGAAATCTAAATAGACACTACGTTATTACTTAAATAGAGATGCCGCTAAAAGAAGGCACTCAGCTGACCTTGTTCTTTCGCAGCTAGCACCTCCGATAGAGATTTAACTTTCTGCTGCAAGGCCTCAGACGTGGCTTCCAGATCTTTTGATTCTTTCATTCTCTGTTCCAATTCCTTGTGCTCCACTTCCTTCACAATTGTAATGTGTTATTTTCGTGTATCTATTTCGTTATTTATCAATTAAAAATTTTGGGTAATTGGCACAAAACGTCCCTACCTTTCAAGGATATTGTGGAAAAAGTCCCTACCTTTCATTTTTTGACATTTTTGCCCTCATTTCAACCTTTCTTTGCGCTGGACGTCCTTCCGTCCATATTCCGTCAGTTTTTCCGTTAATTAAAGGGTAATTGGCACAAAACGTCCCTACCTTTCAAGTCTATTGTGGAAAACGTCCATACCTTTCATTTTTTGGCATTTTTGCCCCCATTTCAACCTTTCTTTGCGCTGGACGTCCTTCCGTCCATATTCCGTCAGTTTTTCCGTTAATTAAATACAAAAATACATTTTTCTTTCCATAAACAAGGGTAAAATTGTCCTCACCCACTTCACCCATTTTTCCCGCCATCAACTTAGTCCATAAGTAACAGTAGCAGCAACATGAATCTGAAAATACTTTAAATGATTAAGTTAAATAAAGAAAAAATATCGTGAACACATTATATTTCACAATTCCACAACTACTGTTGCTGTCATCTTGTGTCACTGGAAAAATTTAGAAAGTTTGACTACCCATTTAATATGTCTTTCTAAATTTTCATACTACTTTATATTCATCTTCGTATGGTTATGAATGTCGTTGGAATTCTCGTTCTTTACGTTGTTCGTAAATTAATCTTGTGAATATATTTTCGCTTAATTAAGTCTCCATCGAACAACATGTACATTGATGATACAATATTCAGTAGATAGTAACATAACTCGAAATGAGAATTTTCAGACTACAACTTTGTAACATTCTATTTGAAACTCAAGCGAAAGGATCATAACCCCGCAACTTCCCATCGTCCATAGAGCTAATACCCAATGGGAAAAATTCGCAACTATCATGTATTACTAATAAAATTTCAAAAATATCAAATTTGTACATTTCTTTAAAAAAAATGAAAAAAAAATCATATTTTATATTTATCTTTCCTAAAAATTATATATGTATGAATTTTTATTAGAAAATTTGAGACTTAAATTATGAGTTATTATTATGGATATTTTTCTCACCTTATCACTTTCAAAAAAAAGTCAATCAGTTACTTTTTTTCTCCAATAATCTCTCACATCCGATAGCACAAAAAATTGATAAACTACGAGCGTGTTCTCTTTGTCGTTTTCGAAATGTTTTCTGTTTTCGATTTTTCAAAACAGTGAAAACGGGTTCTCTTTCTCCGTTTTTGAAAACGAATTTTCGAAAACGCAAAAAAATTTGTGAATAAAACACAAAACGACATTTTTGTCGTTTTGGACGTTTTCAGTACAAAACTCGAAAAAATAGAAAACACGAGGAATGGTTCCAAAATGGCAAAAAGAATGCATTTTCAGCGATTTCAAAACAGGCACTCTAAATACAAAATCCAAAATGAATTCAAAATTCAAAACTACAAAATTGAAACACGAAAAGAACAACCACTTCATCTCTATTGATGAGAATTCATTCTGTTGGACTGTGAATTTGGCCACAAATTAAGCAACTTCATCTCTCATTTGCAGTTTATTTTGGTCAATCATAGTTCGAATAGTATTCGAGATAAATCATTTTTTAATTAAAAGCAGTTTTTCGATCAGAAAATATAGAAAATGAAATGGGCTTTCTTGTCTATATACCAAACACCGATTTCAACTACGACAGCGTGTAGTGGATTTGATATTCAGACAACCAATAGGAATAATTTTCGTTCGTCGAAATTCGTAGAGGTACTTCTCTTATGAAACGCATTGATTTCTCTGTGTTGCTAAATTTATGTTGAAAAAATCTAATATGGATTAATGTTTTGAAATCAAAAGTAAAGACGTCAACTTGTGAGCGGTCACAAGTTGTGAAATGTGGAAAGTGCAATGAATTTGGTCATAATCGTGGGACATACAACATGATGTCACTTAACCATAAAGATTAAAAATCGAAGGTAAAAAAATAGCGAAATCAATTTACATAGTTCAACATTTTTTTTTATAACATCAAGATATTCTTTATGCTTTTAAGTTATTTCGATTTGTTCAAACTTAGTGTACTATTACATTTTTTGAACTCAAATATCACTCGAATAAGATTTATTATTGATCATTCATTGTAAATTCATTTTCTGATATAAAAAGTCAATACGAGTATTTCATAAAAAATTTGCATGAATTTTACCTTTGGATGTGTTTTCTATGTTGTTTGTGATCAGATTTATATGTTAATAGTGATTGTTTGTAATTAGATTTGTGTTAATTGTTACTATTTATGACCAAATATATGTCAATTGTATGATCGGGTCTGTGTTAATTGTAATTGTTTGTGTCCACGCTTTTGTTAATAGGTGTCTGTATTTCATAATTTTTTAATAGGAGTCTGTTTGTAACTAGATCATAAATTTTTAACAGGAGTCTCTTTTTTTATAAAATGTCTATGTGAATGTGACCTATTAAATGTCTTTCCATTAACTGTTTGTGACAAGATTTGTGTTAACTGTTACGATTTTTAACCATGTCTACGTTATTTGTGAGCAAATCTATGTTAATCGTAACTATTTGTGGCCAAACATGTGTTAACTATGACTATCTATGGCCTATAATGCATTGAATGTGGCCTCTTGTTTTATGGATCGTGGCCTGTTACTGCTATTACATTATCAACATTTCCCCCATATAGAAAGTAACATAAATTCATTTGATATAAGCTTGAATAATTTCGTACATGTATAATGATTTCATATATTAAAATTATCGATCGAATAAAATCAAAATGGTAATAAAAATCATAAAAAAAACAACTATTTTTAGTATTAAAAATGTAAAATTATTCATTCACATGTATGTAGCAACCAATATTTGTTTACATAATTTATCAACTATGGTTAGACAAGAATCTCGTCCAAGTTGGGTTGTTTGACCTCCCGTAGCAACATATAATGTATCAACTATGGCTCGACAACAATCTCACTGCGGTTCATGTAATATGATAAATACGTGTTGGTTAGTATTTCGTGTTCATTGTTGAATTTCTTAACAAAGTATTGATCACATTTGGAGATTGTGGCAATATTTTTGGGGAACCAACAATGTTCCTCGATCAATTATCTCAAATTTTGCATAAATTAGAATGTTAGATATGTGATTGTGACCTTGATCACAAATAGAAACATGTGACAGTGGCGTAAAATTGGTTAAATATGACGTGCTACACAATAAGCCCTTATTTGAGCCTCATTCTTGCAAAAAAAAAAAATGTATTTTTGAATAGTGTATTGATAGAAATGTGTGAAAAAATAAAGAAAAGTTTTAAATTTGCATGTAATATTATTTTAATAAAAAATATGTGGTTGAAATGTGATCAAATCACTGTTGAAGAATGCATTATGATTAAGGTAATGGAGCTCAACCAAGGGCTAAATCTTAAATTGTAGCATATGTAGGCTACTTGTATTTTGGCATGTAAAGTTATAGTTTCATATAAATGTGAACGGCATGTATTTTGATTGAAATCTATGGTCACAAAACCAAACCTCAAGTTACGAACAAATACAAAATTTGATGACAGCACGTCTTCTCAAAGTGTTAACAAATTTCATGTGAAATGAAATGCATGTAATCCTCCACATATCAACCTAATCAAGTTCAGGTTCAAGCATATTTACACAAGAATTATTTCACAAAAACTAACAATAAACCACATCAAGAAATTAGATAAGAATTTATAGATGTTAAGTAAACCTTGCAAAGCTCCTTTCAATTGTCACTTAGGAGATAGCAATGACTTTGGACTTGTTATTTGCCTGACGCGATGCAGTAAGCTTGAGTGGTGATGATCGCATAATACCCATTTTCCAAGTTGAAAAATCAGTAAGAGTGCATTTAATTGTCAATATTTTCCATGAAAAATGTGTTTTTCACCCAAATCCCTACTTTTGTATTGTCTAGTTGACTTTTTTTCATGAAAAACATTTTCCTACTTTTGGTCACGTCAACATATTTTCCTTAAAATCAAGAAAAATATTATATTTAACAGGAGTATAATTTTATTTTCCAGAGAATTCACTCTCTTTGTCTCTTTCATCTATCCATTCTCTCTCCTCTAACCACCAATAAAAAATGAACAAGTATAATATTTTTTAGGTTGAAAATTAAATCAATCAAACACATTTAATTGACAATTTTCATGCAAATAAATTTTACTTCTTTCCATACAAATTCTATACTTACAACCAAACGCACCCTAATTAGATGAAATTCGGTGATAAAAACTCTCGAAAACACAATAGATATGGATAGAAAAATGAAAAATTAGAGTATGAATTTGATTTCATTGATTAGATCCAACGCATGATTTCAAGGATTATGGGAAGATTTGATGTGATTACAATTGTAATGGTAATATACCAAATATGGGAACACCATTATCAAACTTGAAGTGAGAGACAACTGGGGATATGTTTCCTCTTTCCACATTCTAAAAGATTAATATGGATTGTGTTGATAAACTAATATTATCAATATTATAATATATTTAAACCTAATAAAAGTAATTACCACCTGATTTTTGAAAAATAATTACTAATACCTGATTAATGTAATGAAAACTTAAAATACATGGTTTCTTTTAGTTTTCCCATATGGAAGGGAAATTCTAGCAAGATAATAAAATCACATTAACAACATTGCTTGGAACTACGTTATGTTAGATTGCATGGCTTATAATTTTCTCTGTATGATATTATTCAATTTTTAAAAACAACAAGAAGTCTGTGACTATTAGCATATAATTTTTTTTTCCATTTTCTGCAATTACATGAAATTAATTGTATAGAAGCTAGGGATATAAGCAAAATCCACAAAAACCGTCAAATCGATCCGGATTGTGATTTTGAAACCGTTAATTTGAGGTCACGTGAACCACCAACAATTTGATTTCGTAGTCAACATTTGAGCTGCAATTTGAACATAAAATATTTAAAAATTTTAAACCTAGCATTAGCTATTAATCGATTCCTCAACCTTAGCAAATTTACATGACTAATGAAAATGTGTCATATAGGACTAAAGGTAATTAGACATCAGAGATGTTAAATCAAGACTGTTATTCTTGTAATTTTGAATTGGATAGCAAAGGTCACATGAATCATATCTTTGATTTGAACCGAGAACCGAGTAAATATTAATACTTCAAATATCAACAATAAAATTAAGTCCTCTTTGAGCCTCGCTCTCTAAAAATATATATATGTTTTTATTAAAATTCGTGTCAACTATATAATCTTTCAATAAAATAATTTTGTATAAAAATCTAAAACTTTTTTCTACTATTGAGTCATGTAAAAATTATTTTTTCAAAAAATGAAACTCAAACAGAGCTTAAACATGATGTCGAAGTTCAAACATGTCAATTATAAAGGTTTTTATTATTGTTTTTGAAGTCATCCAAACCAAATTCTTCATAAGTATCATTGCTTTAACTTTCTCTCTCTTTAATTTGTACATGGCAAAGGCAAATACCAGTCTTATTTTGATGCAAGGGATTCATTTTCTTTGAGTGATCTATAGTTTGAAAAGATTAATGTAAATTAAAAAAGAGTTAATGTCAAGAATAAATAACTAACCTCTCACATTCCAAATAGCTACAAGTCAAATTCAAGATTTGCAATCCTATAGATGATCCAATTGTTTTATCATTTTCAGATCATAGAATCCAACTATCTGAAAAGTGATTTTAATTACCTTGGTTAAAAACCATAAAACTATCAACAAGAAGATGCTTTTTGCATCCCTTTAGGCACACTAAAATGTTTTTGGGATAATTACAACATAAATCATAGTATATTCTGAAATTTCAATTCTACTTTTACTACTTTTTTATCCTACAAATACTTATTATTATTATTATTATTTATTTTTATTTTTATTTTTTTTTAAACACACACTTGTGCAGACATACAACCACAAACAGGCTATATATATGTAAACCCATAATTGGAGTTTCCAGGATTGATCAAAATATCGGTGCATAATGAGTGGACATGGGCTGCGCCGCCTTTAGTGGTGGATTCTCTCTTGAGGCAATGGACAGGAGGAAGATTTGGAAATCTCATCGACTTCAATGGGCCCATGATGACCCGGTCTTGTATGCATTCGATGACCCCCCCCCCCCCCAATGGGGGTTTT